TTCAGTTAACAAAAGCAGTCAGTGGTTTTAACAGTCATTTCTTTTAGGCAGTAGAGACTGAGAAATACACATTTTTCATTGATTACTGTTGGGGTAAGGCAGGTAGGTGTCAAGATTCCCACGTGGCCCATTATACATGCTATGTAACTTGTCATGGTAAGTTTTTGTTTTTTTGTGTTGTTTTTTGTTTGGGGTTTTTGTTTTGGTTTGTTTTGTTTTTGGTCTTTTTGAGACAGCGTCTCAGTGTACAGTTCAGGCTGGCCTTGAGCTCACTTTGTAGCACAGGCTGGTCTTGAACTCGCAACGATCCTCCTGCCTCAGCCTCTCGAGTGCTGAGTTTACAGGCATGCACCACCATTCCCGGCTCATGGTAAGTCTTTTGTCCCATGTTAGTGATAACCCTTACATATTTTAAGATGTTGTAACCTTCTATATGTTTTGTTTAAAATGAGCACTGTCCTCTGCAAAAACACAATTGAACTGTATGCTCTAACTTAGTAAACAAGTTTATCTGTAGTAATTCACCTTGAGTTGTCTTCATGTAAGTCATACATTTTTATAGTACTGCAGATTATGCACACAAACATGTATTTTTTAAACTGCACTCATGTTTTCAACGAATTTTTAAAATGGTGATTAGTGTAATTGTTTTGATTTTATGCACTTGATTTCAGGACCTGATTTCCTTTTTGCAAATGCCCTAAATCTTTGTTTTGATTACAAATCTTAGAATTGCAGTAATACTGAGTTTATGGCCCCTCATGACCTAAATTTTTTTTTTTTTTTTTTTTTGGTCTTTTTGAGACAGGGTCTCGCCATGCAGTTCAGGCTGGCCTTGAGCTCACTTTGTAGCCCAGGCTGGCCTTGAACACACAATGATCCTCCTGCCTCAGCCTCCTGAGTGCTGGGATTACAGGCATGCGCCACCACACCCGGCCCTAAATTTTCAAAAACACCACAGATACAATGAAGTTACCTAGATTTCCAGAAGAGAGCTAAAGAGTTTTAAAGCTTCATGTGGAAACTGTCCATGAACAGTATGAAGGGAGAGTCCCCAGCAAGGCATAAGCTTAGGAATATTTTCAGATCTTCAGCCCTAAGATGTTGTCATGACAGTATTTTCCTCTGAACTACAGTTTTCTCATCTGAAAAATGTAATTCTGTAGTACCTTATAGAAACGCATCTTCTAAATGACCTTCATGATTGTAAGAGTAGTTGTGGCCCTGTTTCTTAATGTTTCGTACAATTAGTGTTCCCTAAAATTTGTCTCAGAATTATGGGTGCCTTGATTATAAAATGCTTCTGCAAAAACTGCCACACTTGCTCTTCTGAACCATCGGGCTGTGATCATCACACCTACGGTGCGGGCTACATAGTCTGCCAACCTCGTACAGTGTCAGTGCACACCGTAAGTTCTTAAGATAAGTTGGCCCAAATCCTCTCATGTCAGCAACTGAACAGGAAGCCCTGAAGGACAGCCTTGCCTAGGCTTGTGGAGCCAGGACCCACCCAAGATCACGATGGTGGTAAGGGGACTGGATAGAAATGGCTGGTGGCTCTGCAGCAGAGTTCAGACCTGAAGCGGATACTGTGTAAGGTCTACACCCTCCACTGCCAGTACAGTGACAGCAAGCAAAGGCCCAGCTGCAGAAACAGGTGACCATGGCAGTTGCCTTGACTGATGTGCCTGAGCTGGTGACATAAGGCAACAGATTCAACTTTTTCTACAAAGTTAGTTCCAGGGACCAGTGTAACCAAGGCAGCTTCTGGATCTTCATGTAATAGGCCGCATTCCTCACACACCACCTATGTTGCATAACTTTCTTAACCAGTTGTGTTTACATTGTCACTTCTATAGGAAATAAGGAAAATTATATATGCTGAAATTTGTGTGGGTTGTTTGTTTTTTGTTTTTGTGGGGGTTTTTGTCTTTTTGAGACAGGGTCTAGCTATGCAGTTCAGGCTGGCCTTGAGCTCACTTTATAGCCCAGGCAGGTCTCAAATTTACAACAATCCTCCTGCCTCAGCCTCCTCCCGAATGCTGGGATTACAGGTGTGTGCCACTGCACCCGGCTTTGTATGCTGAAATTTCATACCTTATCTCTACTGCCATCAGGAATTTTTTTACCACCTACCTTTTCATTCACAAGAGTACCTCTCTACATACCTAAAACTCCTTGTGAACATACTTCTAGCTACTCAACAGTCAGAAACAAATACGCTAAATGCATTTGCTTTGCTCATTTTGGACTATGGGAGGGGCAAGCAGCAATACTCAGAGCAAGGCTTTCCTTCAAAACTCCAGCTGGGAATCCAGGGTCACCAGAAACAGCCTAAGCACCGTGGTGTAGAACAACTGCTTCCTCATGCCAGGCATAGCTCTAATTACATGTTAAATCATTTAATCCATTTGACAAATGAGGAAATTAAGGCACAGATCAAATAAGTGCTGCAGTTTGCATAAACTGACAGCAAGTAAATGGCAGACCAAGGACTGGGATCCAGGTCTGACTCCAGGGCCTGAGCTCCTGAAACACTAACAGTTTTTCATACAAGTGGAGAGCCACTAGTGGGCAGACTGTGTGTAGACCCGACTAAAGAGAAAGTATCAGTGTGCATCACAGGTTTTGAAATACTACTGTTGCATGAAATCGTTTAGGTGCAGAAACACAAGGAAGTTCACTCTGATACGATCAAAAAGGCATAGACCGTGCTCTGCTTACTCTTACCTAGTCCAACTCCACCTAAAGTCAGATACTCAGGATCGGAACCTCATTTCTCCCAAGAGCTGTGTGAGCCTGATGAACTACCTGACCCGTGCACCCCTAAAATGGAAATAACAAGGACTGAGTACATTAGCACAGAAGGCGTTTACCACAGGGTCTGGTCCCAGGGTGTTTCTGCTGCTGCTTCCTGTATATACTGCGTCAGTCAAATGCACCTAACGTCCGTTGGGTACCCTCTCCCTCTGAAGTGTTTTCTCATTTGCTATATAGCAGTGTGGAGGTCCATTCCTCTGAGAAGCCTGGGACAAAAGAAATTTTAAAGATCTGCAGGGCAAAGCGGAGGACAACAAAAATGAGATCTAAAAAAGAGGGCCCTGATGGTCTTGAGACCGTGGCGGTAGCGTGAGCTCCCCTTGGGAGAGTGAACTCAAGCCCGCAGGTGTCTGCAGCGCCCCTGCGTGAGAACAGGCTGCCGGAGCTGCACAGCGGAGGGCTTCAGCTGCCATTGGCCCTCTCTGCACAACTACAACTGAAGGGAAGCCAGGGGAAGCAGAAGGCCAAGGACTCACAATCACACCGTCTCACCTCTGCCTGAAGCGGGCTGCATTCGGTGTAAAATAGAAACCCGCACCTACAACCTGACACCTTCAGACCTGGCTCTCCTTCCTTGCTGGAGCACGGGAGACTGCGTATAAAGAAATGGAGAGCTGTGCTTCTAAGCAAGTCGTCACGTCATCAAGCTGAAGATTTTTATCTGTGACAAACGAAAATTGTCCTGTCAACTCAAGACTGTAGCACTAGAGGAAGCTGGAGAATACCTAGAAGCCGTTTTCAGAAAAAATGAAAAATCCTGTTTCATCCTTATCTCCCATTCCTCTGGCCCTCAGAACTCCTTGTCAGAAGTGATTCGAGCATTTCAACTGGCAGCAGCCATCAGGTAAGCCAAGATGGGTGCACGCAAGTACATCCAGGAGCTGTGGAGGAAGCAGCAGTCCGAGGTGATGCGCGTTCTTCCGCGGATCCGCTGCTGGCGGTACCGCCAGCTCTCTACGCTCCGCAGGGCTCCTTGCCCCACCCGCCCGGACAAAGCTCGCAGACTGGGATACAAGGCCAAACAAGGTTCTGTCATATACAGGATCCGTGTGCGCCATGGTGGCCGCGAACGTCCAGTTCCTAAGGGAGCAACTTATGGCAAGCCTGTCCATCATGGTGTCAACCAGCTAAAGTTTGCACGAAGCCTTCAGTCTGTTGCTGAGGAACAAGCTGGACGCCACTGTGGAGCTCTGAGAGTTCTCAGTTCTTACTGGGTTGGTGAAGATTCCACATACAAATTCTTTGAGACTATCCTCATTGATCCATTCCACAAAGCCATTAGAAGAGATCCTGATACCCAGTGGATCACCAAGCCAGTCCATAAGCACAGGGAGATGCGTGGGCTGACATCTGCAGGCCGCAAGAGTGGCGGGCTTGGAAAGGCCACAAGTTCCACCACACTGTTGGTGGTTCTCGCCGTGCAGCCTGGAGACAGCGCAATACTCTCCAGCTCCACCGTTACCACTAATATAAGTGATGTTTGTAAAATTCATAACCTAATAAACAATTTAGGACAGTCCCGTCTGCTTAAAAGTGTTGTCTGTTAAATAGTCTACTGATTATTTCATGAATGTTTTGTCAAATGGAAGTTAAAGTGCAATAATGTTTGAAGACTATAAGTGATGGTGTATCTTTGTTTCTAATAAGAGAAGCTTTTCTGTCTTTGCTTTATCTTATTACGGAGTTATATGTCAGTACTTGAAACATGCTATGTGGTATAATAGGTGTAAAATAAATTCTTTAAAAAAGAAATGCTTAAAAAAAAAAAGAAGTGATTCAAGAGTCCTATGAAAGACAACACACTGCCCTGCCCACAGGAGATGCAGAAACACTGAGTAGCCTATTCCGACCCCTAACCTCTGTGTACTCAGATCAGAGAAACGGCTAGAGCAGTCTCATTACAGCCAGCACCTGTGACGGAGACGCAGCAAGGCAGCATGCAATGCGGTGCTGCGATCCTGCATGCGCTGTGTGGGGGCAGGCCTGACCTCCCTATGTAACAGTACATGCTGCTAAGCAAGTAACTCCACCTCCTCATCCTGCATGTTCTCATACATGAAGCTACACCTGTCTGCCTCACAGCGTATCCACAAGGCTCAGCTGAAATGGCACAGGCACCCCTCAGCTGGAGCACAGGAACTAAAACATGCTTGTCATTATCAGAAACATGACTCAGCTCATTCTTGACCAAACCGCTTTAATTTACAACTTGAATGTACAATCAGAAGTCCACAATTTCTTGACATTCTCACCTGGCTCCTGCAGGAAAACAAAAATGGAAAGCTTTAAGTACTTTTATATTTACAAATCCGGACCCATGGTTTTGTTTATCAAATTACAGTATTGAGGCATTTCTTGAGCCCTGACCATGTGAGTAGCCTTATAGAGAAGCAAAATCACCCTTTCTCTTAGTTTACATTTATCAAAAAAATAAATGAAGGTGGGCGTGGTAGCACCTGTCTATACTCGCAGCACTCGGGAGGCTGAGGCGGGAGGATCACTGTGAGTTCGAGGCCAGCCTGAACTCCAAGCAAAACCCTGTCTCACAAAGACCCAAGAAATTTAAAAACTAAAAATAGTTTCAAGGTATTTGGGGAGTTCTTTTGTGTGGGGGGTGGTTTTATTTTGTGATAGTCTCACTCTGTAATTCAGACTGGCCTGGAATTCATGAACAACTCCTGCCTCAGCCTCTTGCCTCTTTCCTGAGCGCTGGGATTACAGGCATGTGCTGCCACACTGGGCTAATTTTCAAGGTATTTTTGAATGACAGCAATTGTTGTAATTTAAAAATGTATAAAATGAGAATGTCTTAATCCTGAGGTTTTGTGAGGGAAAGGATTCTTCCTAATACTTGCCTTTTAAAAGACTTCCTGACCTGAAAAATTAAAAGCCTATATACCCCCTGTTGGCTGAAGAATTAATTTCCACAGAGTTAATCTCCCCAGTGACACTCCGTATGCCGGACCTTTCCGTGAAGTACTGCGAGGAGTCCCTGCACTTCTGCAGCCGCACACCTCCGTGAGGTCCTGTCTGTCCTGGGTCTGGCACAGAACGGGCAGATTCAGTCTTCCTGTATTCTTGTGCCACAGACTGACCCCAGGGCCTCAGGCAGGCAGAAGTGGTCTCAATATGTTGTCTTTGATCAAGGAACGGCACCCGAACACATAACCCCACTTAGGAAAAACGCACTTCAGTGAAAAGATAGATGAGACCAAAGGAGGAGGAGAACCACTCATATGAAAATAAAGTACTTTGGGCAGAAATTAAGACACATAACGTGATTGATTGTGCTTCTAGCTGTTAATACAGTTTCCCCAAGACCATCAAAGGCACAAAGTCAAAACAAACGTTTATGACAAACGGAAATGAGACTCTAATACAGGAACTCAAGGCACACCTCCTTGTAAAGAGCCAGTCCACACTTCAGTCTTCATCATCAGGAAGGATCCCTAATTCTTCATCCGTCCACTGGGAAGGGTCTGGATATGGGAAATGACCCTGGGGACAATTGTTCAAAAGAAAGAATACAGTCAAGGAGCTATATTAGATGCCATTAACTAACTTGCAAAGGAAACTGTAGAGAAAAACTTAACTGCCATACATGCGGCCCCTGACACACGTGACGGCCCAGCTCTTCGATCTAACTATGCAGGAGGCCATTTCAGGGTCCTACCCTAAGCCACTGGTATGTTTGTGATGGAGGTCAGCAGGAAGTGGAAGCAACAGATTTCGGGGCTACTACACACCTAAGCAATGCCTTGAAGTCCTGCAAAGGTCTTCATTCATCAGACATGGTGGTGCATACCTGTCATCCCAGCACTCAGGAAGCTGAGGCAGGAGGATTGCCACAAGTTCAAGGCCAGCCTGAATTACAGAGCGAGACCTTGTCTCAAAAAAAACTTTGAAATTCCCCTGTTGCTCCTGCTTTGAGACGTGGGAGCCTCAGGTGGACACGAGCACCTTCAATCCTGAGCTAGCGGCATACCTGGGTATATCACTACCTGATGCCTATAATCATTTCTACCCCTGACACCTGACCTACAGTTAACAGGGGGTTCATAGACACCCAAGCAGCTCCTTCCTGACAAAGGAACAGAGCAGTTCTAAGAGAAATGGGATATTAAGCAACTGCATCTTCCGACACTTGTATAATGTTTCCTCCTATCCTGAAAGTAAGCCCAAATACACAAAAATCCTAAGTACTCTGGATTTCACTGTCTTTTTTGGTTATTGTTCTATTTTGGTGCTAGGGATGGAACACAAGATTTCATGCATGCTAGGCACACATTCAATCGCTGAGCTACACACCCAGCCCCAGAGCTCAGCGTCAAAGCTGTAATTTCCTAGAGAACAGAGTCTGTGCTAATACCATGAGGTATTAGCTGAGGCTAACCACAGGTTAGAAAGTCAGCAATAACTAACTTCTCTGACCCAACGCTGGCTGCCCTGGGCCTCTTGGCAGAGTAGAGGATATCTGTCATTTAAAGGAACTGAGATGTGAACTATAACCCACCAATAAACCTGTAATTAAAAGGTAAGAGAATTAATTTCTACTCTCCTCTCCAGATACAACAACCTAACAGAAACCACGAGACACGGACCATCCAGATGTACATTATCATGTAAAACAGTTCAGAAAGCAAAAGTTTCAGAAGTAACAGGATTCCCACACATATATATGGGCAACACAGTGGTGAAGGGACAGACCAACACAGAAAAATGGTCTTCAAACAGAAAAATAAGCTATTGATAGATTTTCCCCACCCCGACCCCAGAAAGAATGAGAACTACTCCCTCACACTTACCAACACAGCATCCGAGTCATGCCAGAAGCGCCAAAGAATCCAGAACCACATGGTTGCGCTTAAGACCTCGGCCTGGATCACCGCTTTCCTGCTGGGCTGGGGAAACTGTCTGTAGCAGGGCCCGGCATGCGCATCACCACCAGCACTAGGAGACAGAACACAGCGGGAAATGTTCACTACCCTTCTAAGTAGTAAGTCATCCAACACTTCTGAGTTTCTTCTCTTCCACCAAAATACAGACAGTGATAGAGGTCTGAAATCCTGTGACACACTTTCTAGCTTGCTTTACACACACAGCCGCAGAAATGAGAGCATTGCCAGGTATGGTGGCGCACACCTGTAATCCCAGCACTCTGGAAGCTGAGGCAGGAGGATCACCATGAGTTTAAGGCCAGCCTGGGCTATATAAGCAAGTCAAGGCCAGCCTGAACTACACAGCAAGACCCTATCTCAAAATAAAAAGAAAAAAAAAAAAGAAAAGAAATGCCAGCACTGACAGGCTAATTATGGTTTTCATTTAGTGAATATTCATCATTCTGCACCAGAAATATGAATGCATTAATTATGGAGTGCTGGCCCCTAAAGTTTTGGTTAAGGAACAGTGAACCTGGAGTAGGTCACTAACTTACCTAGAAAAATAAATCAACAAACTAATTTTGTCCTATTTAGCCACCTATTTCAGAAACAACTTATGTCCTCTGTCCCTATTGTGTTCTGTATTGAAAAGACTACCAGGGCCAGGGATATAGCTCAGCTGCGCAGTGCCTGCCAGGCAAATACAATGCCCTGAGTTTGATTCCTGGTACGGGGAAAAAAAAAAAAAAAAGACTACCATAGGGAAAAGATGACTCATAAATCCTTTCTAATATGCTAATAGCTCCAAACAAAGAAAAAAAACACTAAGTTTGAGTAAGGTTTCTGTGTTTTGGTTTTTTTTTTCACTTTTTGACACTTGACAAATTGTGGCACACAATCCATAAAGGCTAGCCGGGCGTGGTGGCGCATACCTGTAATCCCAGCACTCGGGAGGCTGAGGCAGGAGGGTCACTGCAAGTTCGAGACCAGCCTGGGCTACATAAGTGAACTCAAGGCTAGCCTGAACTGCATAGTGAGACCCTGTCTCAAAAAGACAAAAAAAAAACAAAAACCATAAAGGCTATAGTTTATTCAGCTGGACTGTAATTATTATCAATTAACATAATTTATACTTAATGAAGCTACTTCTAAAAATGCTCTTCAGCCAAGTGTGGTGACTCATGGTATAGTCCCAGCACTCAAGAGGCCGAGGCAGGAGGATCCATGCAAGTTCAAGGCCAGCCTGAATTACATAGCAAGATCCTGTCTCAATATACCAAAAGAATGAAATAAAACTAAAAGTCCTCTTCAGCAGCTACTTATATGCTAATACACAGAAAAAGATACAAAAATTTAAAGAATCCCTATATAAAATTTGTTCCCCAATTTTATTCCAGATAATCAGCTCATAATACAAATTCTCTTGTACAACACTTTCCAAAAGCGCATTAAAATTTCCTGTTTTGGGGGGCTGGGGATCTAGCTCAGCAGCACAGCACCTGCCTGGCAAGCGCAAGGTCGTGAGTTCAATTCCCGGTACCGGAAAAAAAAAAAAAAAAAGAAAAGAAAAAAAAAATTCCTGTTTTCATGATGTGCTACTGATTCTGAACAGCAAAGTTCCTAAGGTTTGGTTTTTGGGGTTTTGTTTGGTTTTGTTTCTTAGTTTTTTGAGACAGCGTTCTTGACCTTGCTATGTAACCCAGGCTTGCCTTAAACTCTGATGATCCTCCTGCCTCACCTCTTGAATGCTGGGATTACAGGTGTGCACCAAGACGCCTGGCTATTCCTATGGTTCTGGGCACATTACCTAGGACTGTTTTTATCTTCTCCCACTCTAAAAGATTATTAGCAGTTACCCGAGTGTATGATGTGACAGGCACCACACTAAACATTCTATAAGCATTACTGTATCACAGTTACTTTTCCTACCAACCTTATGATTATGGGATCTATCTACAGGTTATGAGGTAGATCCTACCATTGCTTTTGCTCGATGACGACGCTTAAGATCTTAAATATTACTGCAAACACCATTAGTCACTTTTTCATTTTCTCAATCAAATCCTGGGCTAGAGATGCAGCTCAGTAGTAAAATGTTTGCCTAGCACGCACAAGGCCCTGGGTTCCATCCGAGGCAGAACTAGATTTTTTACATTCTAAGTAAGTGCTCTGTCACTACATTCTACAGGCCCTTTTAAAAAATACTTTGTCAGTACCAAAAACTTCTATAAAATATAGGGTTATGATGTGTTTTCATACGTGCAAACACACATATCACACCCATACGCCCTTTTGCTCTCCTTCTACCCTCCTTCACCCCTCCTTTCCAAATTTTATTTTTAAACTGGAGTTCACTGAGTTGCCCATGCTGGCCTTGAACTTTTGATCCTTCTGCCTCAGTTTCTCAAGAAGCTAGGAATACAAAAATGGACCACCAACCTGGCAAGACATAACTCTTTAGTAAGAATCCCAATCAGCAAGATAAAACTCTTACCACACAATGGAGTCTGTCTTTGTGTGAATATATACCCTATCTACAACACTTTTATTTTGAAGGCTCTACATAACGTATTAATGATTAGTTATGGATGTATACGAGGTTATTTTTCTGTAGGGTTGTGTATTTTTTCACATACTGTTTCTACAAGGGCCTCATATACCAATTATATTCAATAGTATTTACTCAGGATCTACCTGCATATATTTTATTCCGTAAATAAGTCATGTGGGACGATTCATATTTTAACAACAGATTTCCTCTTTGATAGCTTTTTGCTACAAACTAGGGATATGGGTGCATCCGTAAAACTCATTAAAATAAACTTTGCTTAATGCTAGGATTATAGTTCCAACTCATCCTAGCAACTCTCCACATTTATTGCGAGATTGATATTTTTTAACTGTAAAGTGAAACAGGTGACACACTGACTGTAAAGTGGAAATCTTTTTGAACGATTTTTTTTTTTTTTTTTTTTTTTTGGTCTTTTTGAGACAGGGTATCGCTATGCAGTTCAGGCTGGCCTTGAGCTCACTTTGTAGCCCAGGCTGGTCTTGTAATTGCAAGAATCCTCCTGCCTCAGCCTCCTGAGTGCTGGGATTACAGGCGTGCGCCACCAGGCCCTGCCTTAAACAAAGAGCTCAGTTTTAGAAAATGCACGGCATAACAATTGTCACGATTAAGGAATGTAAAAATTCAACAAACATCTAAATGACCGTTACGATCTGAACCATGCTAACTCTACTGTGGGAACTAAATACCCTGCACAACCTCTCAAAGCTTAAAAAAAAAAAAAAGTATTAATTTGTTTTCCAAACATCATCCACCACTATAAAAATAAAGTCTCTACCAAAAGCAAAATCCAAGGAAAAATAAAGCCTGCAGCTGGTGATGCAGCTCGGTAGAAGAGCACTGCCCTAGTGGGCGCGCCAGGGCCTGGCCAATCCCCTGCACCACAGAGGAGAGGGGCTGAGAATACGGTAAGGGACAAGTTCAAGGCTGGGGATGTTGCTCAGTGGTTGAGCGTTTGCGGAGTGTGAGTGAGATCGATCTCCAGTGCACCAGCGGTACAGGGGAAAAAAGCCTGGGAACCAAGCAAGCGCTGAAGCTGGGAGTCATCAGTCCTTGAACTTTCACCAAGTGAAGATCTACAAAAGGCTGTGAGCCCGGAGACTCGGACTGGGAAGTCTGATTCATATCAAAAGGGTAAACCAGAAAGCATGGAGAAGGAAGCCTTCGTTATCGGATGCCAGTCATCAGGTAGGTTTGCACCCAAATTCACACTTAAGTAGGCTGCATCTTTGTAGTCCAATCCCCCACCCCGCCCAGACTTTACAGTGATTTTTTTTTTTTTTTCTTTTTGGTTTTTCTCTGGTACCGGGAACCGAACTCACGACCTTGCGCTTGCCAGGCAGGCGCTTTGCCGCTGAGCTAAAAGCCCCTTTTACAGTGATTTTAGATTGGTGACGCGCTCAGGCTACAAGAAGAAGCAAGACAGACAGAATCTGTCAGATAGAAGAATCTGACAGATAGAAGTTCCAGGGAAAACGATCTCACAAAAAATAAAGACACTCTGAGGAAGAAAACAAAAGACACAATATGCAAAGAAATAACGGCTGTTCCAACATAGGGTTTTTAAGTATCAAGTTTTTTAAAAAAATCAACCAGACCGTACTACTTTCCTGCTTCAGGGGCTCCACTAGCTACCTATGCTTCTTTGGTAAAATCCTAGTCCTAATTCAGGCTCACTCGTCTCTGAGCGCCTCTCCACCTCCCCGCCGCACCGTCCGGGGTGCCACATCCCACCCGCTGCTCCCCGGCGGACCACAAGACCCAGCATGCTTCGCGCCGAGGCAACGCAGGGACGCGCCTCCCCCCACTCGGGCCTCAAGGTGAGCGCGTCTGAGCTCCGCGCCTTCCACCGGAGCCCTCGCCACCATCCGACAACTTACTGACGGACTGCACCGCCTCCGGCTGCCCGCGCGCGGCCACTTCGGAAGAGGCGGCCTCCGACCCGAGCCAAAGGCACCAGCCGGGTCAGAGCCGACATGCTCTCCGCTTCCCACCACTGTCCCAGGCCGCCCCTCCCCGCGTACGTTCCTCCCGGCGCCGCGCGCGCCGTGACGTCACGGCACCGCCCTTTTCCAACGCGACGGCGCAGGCGCATGAGACCCTCTCTGGGCGGGGTTGGCTAGGCCTGAGCTGCTGGACCGCTGGTCTTCGGCGGTTGTTTGAAGGCTCCCGAGGGAGGCAGAGGCCGACCGAGGGCCCGCATCGTGACGCGGTGTGGCCTCCTCCTTGTTACGCCTGAGCTGAGAAACTTCCAACACTAACTCAGCTTCGGGGGCTGGGGATTTAGCTCAGTGGCAAAGCGCCTGCCTGGCAAGCGCAAGGTCATGAGTTCGGTTCCCGGTACCGGGGAAAAACCAAAAAAAAAAACTCAGCTTCGGTTGATCGAGGCGTTTTCGAATGTGCACCTGCCATGCTGCCTGCCCCTTCTGTGCTAATAGCCTTCCGGACCCCCCCTCGGAACCTTCTTTTAAACGCTTAAACTATTCAAAGGTACAAACATGGCCGGGCATGGTGGCGCACGCCTGTAATCCCAGCACTCAGGAGGCTGAGGCAGGAGGATCGTTGCGAGTTCGAGACCGGCCTGGGCTACAAACTGAGCTCAAGGCCAGCCTGAACTACATAGTGAGACCCTGTCTCAAAAAGGCAAAAAAAAAAAAAAAAACACAAAGTACAAACATGAACACGGAAAACGCCATCCATACACGTGGAGCCATTGGCCTCACACGCTGATGCGTCCATGAGGTATCCGCACGGCCACGGGACTGCAGCCTCGCACGCCTCAGGGGCGTCCAGAGGCCGCCGATGCCACCGCACCCCGGGACCTTGGAATGACCCGCCACATCCAAGGCTGGGTCGGGTGTGGGGGCTGCTGTGTCCCCAAGTCACCAACACACGTGCCGGAGGAGCTCTGCGAGAACAAGAACTTCGCGTCCCTGCAAGGCCGGCGCTCCCACGAAGACCTCGTGGTGCCGAAGCTCCCGTGAGGGTCCCTGCAGGCCGTGGGACGTCACAGGGGCTCCTGGCCCTCATCCCCGCACGCATGGTCCTACAGGTCCACACGCCTTGAAGCGGGTCCCTGGGCCAGGAGGGACTGCTGCCCGCCCCGCTTGTGGCCCGCAGGGCTCAGCTCCACCTCAAAACCGTCGTCTCACGGCTCACCTGCAGCCTTCTGGGCCACCAGCATGTCCTATTCCTCAGCAGCAGACCCTTCCCAGTCGAAGCGCTCAGGGCCCTCACTGCCACTCTCGCTGCGACGGTACTTCATGTTCCAGGTACTTCTCCGCGTTGAAGAACACGATGCTGGCCGTGTTGCACTGCTTCCGGTTTTGCAGTGTGATCCTCCCCGGACACTGCAGCTTGACGAGATCCACCCTCTGGCACAGGCAGTCCCGGAAGGGCAGTGTCTCCGTGGCCGTGCTGTCCGCTGCCCATACTCCCCATAGAACTCCAGCTCAAACAGGGACAGCGCAGGCACCGTCCCCATCCAGGTCCATGCAGCAGAACCAGTACTTGGGGTTTTCTTGGCCTCTTCAGAGATAAAAACCAGACAAATTTGGCATGGCTGATCTCTCCCTCTTTCTGCCCCTTCCTCCCTGGAGTCACAGCTCCTGAGATGATCCTATGATCCTCTTGGCAGAAATGATGTGGTCCTTGTGCCCAGCCAGGGCCTGCACCCCAATGAAAAGGTCATGGTCAGTGTTGAGCTCCCACAACTTGCAGTAGATGACATAGAAGTGCTGGTAGGGGCCAGGCAGCGTGTTGGCACACGCCTCTAATTCCACACAGGTGCTCTGCCACTGAGCTATATCCCCAGCCACACACCTGTAATTCCAGCACTGGAAGCTGAGGCAGGAGGGTTGCTGTGAGTTCAAGGTCAGCCTGAACTGCATAGTGAGACCCTGTCTCAAAAAAGACAAAAAAAAAAACCAAAGAAGTGCTGGTAGGGAACTCCAGCAGCTGGTTGATGTCCACCTCCTCCTGCAGCAGGGCCATGTTCTGCAGGAATTTGTTCCTCTGCAGGTCTGTGCATGGGATCCTTCCAGACCAGGACCTGTTGACCGAGTAGAAGATCCTCTGGATGGCTGTGGTGCCATGGTGGGAGTGGAACTGCAAGACCTCCTTCAGGAAGGACAGGCCCAGGTGTGTTCCCCACGTCCTGCAGGAAGGGCACAAAGTCCTCCTGCTCCAGGTAGTTGCAGCCAGGACTCGAGCAGATGCATCCGGCCGAGCCACCATGGCAGCTCTGTAGGATTTTCCCTCAGAGGGCCACGAACTTGTGGACGGACACAGCCATGCCCCTTCGCAAAGTTAACCCCTTCTACTCTTCTGTCCTCCAAGAGGCTTGCAGCCATATCGTTAGCCTTAGTTGTTTTAGTCTCTGAACCCAGGTACTAACCAGCAGCCGGTGGTTCTCAGGTGTCAGCAATGGACTGGTGGAATTAAAATCACCTGAGTAGAGCCAGGCTCTGCATCAAGAAGCCTCCTAATGCCTCAACCCTTGGCCAGCCTGGATTCCTGGCCTTTGTCCCCTAGTATTACCTTCTAGTCGATCCTGCATGGACTGCAGCCCTCTCTGAACTCCTCCTCCCCTCAGATTCGTAGATCTCCCATGATAAGTTACAGTTGTTCGCAAAATCTCCAGGTTTGGTTAAACTATAGATTTAGCCTGCCAGCCAGGTGTGATGGTGCATACCTGTCAACCCAGCACTCAGGAGGCTGAGGCAGAAGGATCGACACAAATTTGAGGCCAACCTGAACTACATAGTGAGACCCTGTTTAAAAAAAAAAATTTTTTTTTAAATAAACTTAGCCTGCCAAGCTCAGACCTTGGAGACCAGACTTTACAATGGATCTGCGTGTGCAGTTCCGTGGTGTTTCACACAGTTTCAAGTATGAGAAACAGGAGCTGGTGAAGAGACGTGTAAACCCGAGTTGCGGGATTTGACTGCACTGCATCTGACTAGGGATACTCTTCCTTCTACGCCGAAATGGGGCTCCACGTGCCCTTTGTGTGACACAAGATAGGAGTTAAAGCCACCTAAATCTTAGGATTGCTGAGCTGCCCCAGGCTCGCGTGAACAGCCTAGGGTTGTTGCCCTGATGCTGGAGGATTCTCTCCCGCTTCTGCCCTTTTTTGTTTGGTTGGTTTTAGGTTTTTTGTTGGGTTTGTTTTTTTGTTTGTTTGTTTGGTACTGGGAATTGAACTCAGGACCTCGCACTTGCCAGGCAGGTGCTGTGCTGCTGAGCTATAGCCCCAGCCCCAACCCTTATAATTTCTAAGTGGTGTATAAATTAGGGGCAGGGACCTGCTGTTCTCTGGAGGAAAGTTCACTTCCCAGCTCATGTGCCACAGAGAGGCCTTCTCTCGGCTGACATGTAGAGACAAGTAAGACAGTCCCTGAGGGGCCAGGGTTTAGCTCAGAGGTGCAGCACCTGCCTGGTAAGCGTGAGGTCCTGAGTTGGATTCCTGGCACCCAAAAAGAAAAGAAAGTCCATGAATTGAGAGGGTGGACTGTTGGTCCAAGCAACACAGCTGCTGGCTCCTAAAAATCAAGGCTGTGATTCCAATGCCACAGAACAAGCAAAGTTTAAATAAGAACACACATAGAAAGCTGGGCATGGTGGCACATGCCTGTAATCTCAGCATTTGGGAGGCTGAAGCAGGAGGATCACCCCGAGTTTGAGGCTAGCCTGAGCTACATAGCAAGACCCTATCTTTAAAACACACACACAGATACTGAGACTATGTGGGCTGGGTCAGGGCTCTACCACTGAGCTACCTCCCCAGCCCCATTGTCTCCTTTTTTTGTACCTTACAAAAAAGTCTAGGAAGAACTCAACCAAAAATGTTAAAATTGGGGCTGGGGATTTAGCTCAGCGGCAAAGCGCCTGCCTGGCAAGCACAAGGTCGTGAGTTCGGTTCCTGGTACCGGAAAAAAACCAAAAAAAAACAAAAAACAAAAAACAAAAATGTTCAAATTTGTCAAGATAATTCAAAGTGCAGTGAAATTTGCCCTAATTTTATATTGTGCCGAGTGATACTGCTAGTGGCAGCACATATATAAAAAGTATAAATGTACATGTATGTGTTTTCAACTTTTTACCAATAAGGGTACGCAGTTTTTTTTTTTTTTTTAAAGGACAGGCATGGTGTGGCATGCCTGTAATCTCAGCACTTAGGAGGCTGAGGCAGGAGGATTACTGCAAGTTCAAGGCCAGCCTGAACTGCACAGTGAGACCCTGTGTCAAAAAAACATAATTAAAAATAGGAGCAGGGCATGGTGGCACATGCCTGAAAACCCAGAACTACAGGCAGGCAAGTCAGGCAGAAGACACAGGCAGCCAGAGAGGCTCCGGGCTCCAGGCAGAGTCAGAACGACCAGGCCTTGGTCAGATGAGCAGGAGCCTGGGATCAAGAGTCCACAAGAACCAGGTGGACATTGGGGCTGGGGATTTAGCTCAGCGGCACAGCGCCTGCCTGGCAAGCGCAAGGTCGTGAGTTTGATTCCCGGTACCGGTAAAAAGCCAAAAAAAAAAAAAAACAACCAAGAACCAGGTGGACATCAAGTCCAGGATGTAACAGGCGAGGTGACAGCAAGGTGACGGGTCCCACTATGGCAGCTCTGCTCCTAGCTAGCTGGAAAACGTTTTCTCCTTCTCACTTTGTTCTTTTAGTGACACAGTTGGATAGGAGAGAGCCCAGGAGGCAGCTCAGACACACGCTTGCTACCTGCCCTGACCACTCACTGACCCATGTCTAGTGGGCTGGTTTTAGTCCTACAGGTTGACCTTGGTCAATTTTTGGTATTAAAAATCCTAGACAAAGATCCCCAAGGTTGGGCTGGGGATGTACCAAGTGTGAAGCCTTGAGTTCGAGTCCAAGTACCAAAAAAAAAAAAAAAAAAAAAAAAAGACACAGGATTTCAAGGCCAGCCTGAACCACATAGCGAGACCCTGTCTCAAAAAGACAGAAAAAAGAGTCCTGGGGCAACCCACTTTTGGGTCCCCTCCCAACTATTGGGAGCTAGTTCTCTCTTCTTAATAAACCTTCCTCCTGTCTACCTCCTTTCTCCTTGACTTCATTCTTTGACCTCATGAGACACACACCCAGGTCATGACATTATACCAGCAATCAGGAGGCTGAGGCAGGAGGATCACCATGAATTCGAGACTGGCCTGGGCTACATAGTGAGTTCAAGGCCCATCCGAACTACATAGAACCAGTCTCAAAAAAAGCAAGCAGGGCCGGGGATATAGCTCAGCGGCATAAGCGCCTGCCTGGCAAGCGCAAGGTCCTGAGTTCGATTCCCAGTACCAAAAAAAAAAAAAAAAAGCAAGTAGGACTACAGGAATTTATGGTATTTCCCAACCTAAATGTTAAGAGTGTGGGAACCACCAGCAGAATCCACCTGACCAGGGAGTATAGAGAAAGTTTAAAAAAAAAAAAAAGAAACAGGAAAACAAAAACAACCGTGTGTATTTGTACCCCTCTACAGTCCACCTTCTCAGAATGGGTATCCTCGGCCCACTTCCATGTCCCAGCTCTTGCTGCTGGACATGCAGCCCCTTCCCTCCACGCCTCCAGTGATCCTGAGTATGCAGACCCTGAGCCAGGGAGCAGAAGGCAGAGGGGCCCCCCATGTGCCCCGGGCAGCCTGGCAGCGGCCTCCAGTCCCGGGTGACACCCGTCAGGCGCGGGCCATGGGCCCAGGGAGGAGGAAGGGCCTGGCCGCCTCCAGGATGTCCAGCTTGGGGTCCAGCGAGCGGCCCAGCCCCTCCAGCACCATGATGGCGAACACGATGGAGGCGAAGTTGCTCTCCAGCTTCACCTGCAACAGAAGCAAGCAGTGGTTCCCCCCGACAAGGCTCAAGAAGACACTCGTCCCCCGCCCGCCCCCCAGGCCCGCCAGGACATCATCCGGGCCTCTAGGTCCAGGCCTCTGCCTGGTCCATGTCTGGGGCACACGGTGGGTACCTTCCCCAAGGGGAGCTGGGCAAAGTCTCAGTTCCCCCCACTTCCTCGCTGCACCTTCCCCCACCCTGCATCTCTCTGTCTTCTTCCCATCTGCAAAAGACCTCTCTCCCTGTTTCCCATTCACTCTTCATGCTTTGCATTTCTCATATAAGAGAAGCCACGTGACATTTAAGCTGTGTCTGGTTTGTTTCCCTTAGCGTCATGGTTTCACAGTGCAGCCATTGTCCTATAAATGACTCAAGTTCCCTTTCCTTTGGGCTGGGGATGCAGCTCAGTGGTGCAAGCACCTGCCTGCCAAGCATAAGGTCATGAGTTCGATTCCCAGTAAACAAGTTCACTTTCCTTTATGGCACGTAGTAGTCCGTGGCATATAAATGCCACGTTTTACCTTTTCATGTGCTGATGGACACAGAGTGAGACCCAAGTTTACCCCAGGCAGGAAAGAGCTCCATGTGACCTCCATGAGCACCAAACTGTACCGGGCACCCCGGAGTGAAAAGCATGAGAGGCCTGAGTTAGGCTCTTCACTATTTTTTTTTTTGCCTTTTTGAGACAGAGTTTCACTTTGCAGTTCAGGCTGGCCTTGAGCTCACTTTATAGCCCAGGCAGGCCTCGAACTCACAGTGATCCTCCTGCCTCAGCCTCCCAAGTGCTGGGATTATAGGCGTGCGCCACCACACCCGGCGACTTTTTATATATTTTACAGTACTGAAGATAAAGCCCATTGCCCTGCTACCAAACTACACTTTCAGCCCTTTTATTTTTGGAGACAGGATCATGCTATGTAGTTCAGGCTGGCCTTGAACCTGTAGTAATCCTCCTGCCTCTGCTTCCGGAATGCTGGGATGACAGATGTGCACCACCACACCCAGCTTTACCCTTTTGAGACATGGTCTTGCTAAAACGCTTGATCTTCTTGCCTCAGCCTCCCAAGTAGCTGGGATTACAGGTGTGCACCACTGCACCTGGCTGCTTTTACACTTCTAAGCCCATTTTCTCAGACCTAAGTGTCACAGGTACTCAGACTGACCACTGAGACCTGCCCAGCTCTGAAGGAAGGACAGGCCCCGAGGGGAGACCCGCCCTGTGCCCTCCCCACCGCCTTCCCCGAGACCCCCGTCCCGGGCCCTCACCTTGTGAGTCATCAGCAACCTGAAGACACTGGAGAGGAGGCTGGAGACCTGGAGCTGGAAGAGGAGCGAGCCGGGTGGGGATGAGGAGCCCTTGAGCCCTCCCACCACCCCAGAAGGGCCCCTGCGGCAGACCCCGGAGGGCGGGGCCCACGGGAGCCCCTGCCAGCTCCCCGGGCAGCAGGCTCCCTTAGCCTCCCTTAGCTGGAGCGCCACCCACCTTCTCCAGGGTGACGCTGCTCTTCCGGGCCTGGGTCACCAGCGCGGCCATCTCCGCCTTGAAGCCCTCCACGTCCCGGCACTCGCTGGCCCGGGCGTGACGCAGGATGAGCTCTGCCACCCTGTGGCCCTGGGAGATGCCAACAACAGCAGCTCGCTCAAGCTGAGTTAGCAAAAACCCGACCTGGAACGGCCGCCAGTTTCTAAGGTCCCCGCCGGCCAGGAGCCCCCGCTGGGACGCAAGGCAAGGTGGTGCCCATCCCTTGGCGCTCTTGGGCCGCCGAGGCACCATGCGTCCTGCTGACCCCTTGGCCCAGCCCCCTGCCGCCAAGTCCCGGCCGGGCTCCTCCCGCCCGCGGAGCCGCTCCTCCAGCCGCGCGGGCCGGGGCTCAGCCTGGCTTCTCTGAGCCCCCAGGACCCCGCGGAGCAAAGCCTGGCAGCCGCCTCACTCCGCCCGCCCAGTGGTCGTCTGAGTGCCCGTCACCTTCCACAGCACGGCCCTGGGAACAGCTCTTCCAGGGGCTGTGACCCTTGTCCTTTGCCTAAACCTGTCCAGAGCGGCCCCACGGCACTGCATCCTGGTGTTAACAGGGGACCTGCGAGCTGGCTGCAGGCTCCAGCTTGTGCTCGGCCCCTCAGGAGCCACTTAAGTCAGACCTTTACCTTTTTTAAAAAAATGTTTTTAAAGACAGGATCACACCAAGTAGTCCACGCCAGCCCTGAACTCACTATACACCCCAGGCTGGCCTCGAGCTGGTTATCCTCCTGCTTCAGCCTCCCCAGGGCCTGGGATGACGGCACGTACCACCACACCTGGCTAAACAGGTTTCGCCCAATGCCTTTTCTCTACATAATGATGCCAGACCCCTGGGGCTCCTCTGAGTCACAGAGGACACACACAGGTCCCCAGGAGTCTGCCCCATGCAGGGGTCACATTCTCCATACTGTGGCTTCTCCCTAGCTGGCCATCCTGCAGCCAGGTTACACATGAGGACAGCCACTACGTGCTCAAGAAGCTGCCACCGGGCACGGTGGCAGACACCTGTCATCCTAGCACTTGAGAGACTGAGGCAGGAGGGTCACAAGTTCAAGGCCAGCCTGGGCTACAAGTGAGTTCGAGGCCAGCCCAAGCTACGAGTGGCCTTGGGATCCCTACACAGAAGCAGGCTGAGGACAGACAGCCTGCAGGACGCCCCCCAGCGGGCCTCACCTGGCCCAGCGCCACAGCCAGGAACACGGCCCGGAAGTTCCTCAGATCAGCAGCCTTCAGCTCAGCCACGATGCCGGCGTCCAGCAGCACCAGGCGCAGCGGGCACAGGGTCGGTGCCACAGCCGCCACCAGCGGGTCACAGACATCCACCTTGTGGCCCAGGGACAGCCCACTGGTGCCCTGCACCAGGATGTTCCCGGGGTGCAGGTCCGCGTGCACGAAGTTGTCCACGAATATCTGGAAGGAGACATGCGGTTCTGACCGGGTCACCCGGCAGCACCAAGCCACCCGAGGGACAAGCGTCACGGTGACGGAGCCCCCGGGGCCCCAGCACGACGACAAAGAGGGGTGAAGCCCCGTCTGCAGGGTGCCAGCCCAGGATTTGTGCAGGGACAAGCCAAGCCACGGCTTTTAAGGGAAAATTATTTCCAAACAATGAGCAAAACAGACTATTTTTTCTTTATGATTTAAGGCATTAATGTTCCAATTTAAGAAAGATTATCAATTCTTGTGTAAAAGTTTATCCAGAGCTCTATCCCCCGCCCTCAGTCCTGGCTTGAACCCAGGGACTACACACAGAGCTACAGCCCCAGCCCCTTCCTGTCATTTATTTGAGACAGGGTCTCACTATATTGCCAAGTTGCCCAGGCTGGGCTCGAACTTGCAATCCTCCCATCTCAGCCTAATCCCAGTGCTGGGATTACAGGTATGTGCTACCATGCCTAGCTGAACTACATTTCTTCAAAAGCAGTTCATACAGCCAGGCACAGTGGCACACACCTATATCCCTGTATGTGGGAGGCTGAGGCAGGTGGATCACTTGACTCCAGGAGTTGGAGACCAGCCCAGGCAACATAGGATAACCTCATGTCAGAAAGAGAAAAAAAAACCGGGCATGGTGGCACATGCCTGTAATCCCAGCACTTGGGAGGCTGAGGCAGGAGGATCGTTGCGAGTTCGAGACCGGCCTGGGCTACAAACTGAGCTCAAGGTCAGCCTGAACTGCACAGTGAGACCCTGTCTCAAAGAAAAAAAAGACAAAAGAATGGTTTACACACCAGACTGTCCCTCACCCAGGATCGGGGATGCCTGTGGCGAGGGACAGTGATCACCCGCCACTAGCAATCCTTCCCCAGGGCCAAGGGAAGCGGCCAAGGTCCCTTCCCCCAGCCAGCTGGACCCTGCCGCCCACCCCTCAGCCACCGCCTCTGTCCCAGGCCCCTGACAGCTGGCATCTTCTCTCTGCTCCTCCTGGGTACGATGCCACAACTAACATGGCACAGCCGCACCGTGTCCTCCTGGGGACATCAGCTGCTGGTCGTGCTGTGGCACCCACACACCAGGCCCTTGAAGATGAAGCCTGCGGACCAAGGAAGTAGCCTGCCTCGTCTGCCCTCCCTGCCCGGTGCCAGGTGGCGGAGCTGAGGTTGGAATCCAGATGTGTCTGGCATTGCCAGCCCAGGCTCCTCACTGCCAGGCGCTGTCCCTGCGCTGCCTGGCTGCCTGCCAGGTTTCCCGTGCGCTCCTTCCCGGCCCCAGAGCAGCGCTCGCTGCCTCTGCATCTGCTCCGAGCCTCCCGGCCCCTGCTCTGCCTGCCACCCCAGAACTGCCCAGGCTCTGCACCTCTGAACCCCCTGTCCCACGCTGCGCTTTCTGCACCCCCAGTGCTGCTTCTCAACTCTCGGCTCAGGAGCAGAGGCCGGGCTGGTAGTCCGGGGCAGCCACCCGGGCTGTGACAGCCTACCACCGCCCCAGCTGACGTCCCCACCAGAACATTCACTCCAGGCTTTACAAAGGGAAAAGCCCATGCGGCTTAGCCCCACAGAGGACAGAGACACCCAACAGTGTTCGAGAATCAACATCAGCTGGGCGTGGTGGCTCACGCCTGGAGTCCCAGCACTAGGGAGGCTGAGGCAGGAGGATCACCATGAGTTGAAGGGCAGCCTGGGCTACATAGTGAGTTCAAGGCCAGCCTGAACTACACTGTGAGACCCTGTCTCTAAAGACAAAAAAAAAAAAAAAACAGCAACAACATCAGCCCGATATGGTGGTACATGCCTGTACCCCCAGCACTGTGGGAGGCTGAGGCAGAAGGATTGAAAGTTTGAGCCCGTGTGAGTAACTTAGCGATTTAACAAGACCCTGCCTCAAAATAAAAAGTACAAAAGCTGAGGATGGAGCTCAGTGCCAAGGCCCTGGGTTTACCGCCCTGTCGGGGACCAGGCCTTGCTGAGCCCTTCCCGCGGCACACGGAGCACACGTCTCTGCTGGCCTCCCCGCAGGTGCCCGGCCGAGCCCCCCTGCCCTGCCCCGCGCCCCGCGCCCCGCTCACCATCTTCAGCAGCATGTTGATGCCTAGCCGCGCGATCCTCCGCTTCAGCTCGGCGGGGATCCCAGCCTGCTGGTAGCTGGACACAGGCACGCTGTCCTGGAACAGCGCGAGACAGCATTAGTCTGGCTGCTCCCCACGCCCTGCCCCCTGCGCCCCACCCCAGGGACACATGGCACTGGCTTCCTGTGACTGGGAGAAGACTCGGAGTCTGATCCTCTTACAGCAGCTTAGGAATCTGTCACTGAGTGCTGGTTTTAACCTATTTGTATTTCCTTTGCATTTATTTGTTTTTGAGACAGGGTCTCACTATGGAGTTCGGGCTGGCCTTGAACTCACTATGTAGCCCAGGCTGGTCTCAAATTGAAGGCAACCCCCTGCCTCAGCCTTCTGAGTGCCAGGATTACAGGTGTGTACCACGGAGCCCTGCAGACTCCTCTGAAAACTTTTTTGCCATCCTATTTGCTAGTGACCTAGACAAGGGTGGAAGTGGTTTGCGCTCTTGGGCTTTTCCTTTTCTTATTTGTTCCTGAGGCGTGACTAGGTCCATCTCACCGGCGGCTTTGGCACAGTTACCTACGCCGCGTGGAGGTCTATTCACCAGCTCCCCACCTGCTGGCTTCCCTACTTCCTGGGTGAGGCGGGAGGATCTCCATGAGTTCAAAACCAGCCTGGGCTACACCGTGAGTTCAAGGCCAGCCTGAACTGCAGGGAAACACCAGCTCAAACAAACAAACAAACAAAAATCAAACCTAAGGAGTCTGAGGCCACACGCAGGGCTATGCCACAGCCTTTCCCGGCCAAGCGCCCCGCTCCTCCCGTCTCCAGCCAGGAGTCCCCTCCAGAGGGAAGGGCGCGGCCACACTCACCTCGTAGGTTTCCACCAAGACATCCCTGGTGACGAAGGGGCGCAAGGGTGTGGGGAACCGCACCGAGGTCACGTCCTGGAAGTTGCGCTGGAAGTGTTCCAGATTCCGAGCTTCATAACGCAGGTCAACCTAGAGGAACACCGGCAAGGTGGGCTGGGCTCGACCGGCCCCCCACGGCTGGCCCGTCAAGCGGCTGTAGCCAGAGTCCCAAATCCCCACTCGAACTCCTGTCCTCTGCACACACAGGAGGCCTGGTAGGTTGTGGGGGTCGCAGCTCCGCCCTGATGGGTCCCTGTCCCAGCCCTGGGTTGGCTCTGTCACCACCTGCACCCTCTCCCTGCCGTGCGGCTATGCCCAGGGCCACATCCACGCAGGTTGGCTCCTCCACCCAGGGCTGCCCCGCCTGCCGTCCGCTGCCCCAACACCAGCACTGCTAAGCTTGCGATCATCTTATATGTGTCAGACTCAAAAGTCAACTCAGTTTCTTACCATTGTGGCTTGCAGTGCTGTAGACTGAACCCAAAGCCGCTCTACCATGGAGCTACATCCCCAGCTCTTTTTCTTTGCTGAGAGAGGGTCCCATTAAATTGTCCAGGCAAAGCCAAGCATGGCGGCGCATGCCTGTAATCCCAGCACTTGGGAGGCTGGGGCAGGAAGATCTTTTCAAGTTCAAGACCAGCCTGGGCTGCAAAGTGAGCTCAAGGCCAGCCTGAACTGCATAGCGAGACTCTGTCCCAAAAAGACAATAAATAAATAAATAAATAAAGAGTCCAGGCTGGCTTTGAACTTGCAATCCTCCTGCCTCAGCCTCCAGAGTATCTGAGGGTACAGGTGTGCCACCGTGCCCAGCTCCATTTCACTCCTAACAAACCTGTGCTGACACCGGATTCCCCGACTCCCCTCCTGGCCCCGCCCTGCCCTCTCCCTGTCCGGCTTGCCTGGCCAGGCCCCAAGGTGGCCAATGCACTTTCTCTCCCCATAAGTGGCACCCAAGCCCACGTCCTCAGCTGGGCCGGGCGCCAGCACCAGCCCTCTAGGCTCGACCTCAGCACTGATGCCAACCCAGACATCCCACCACAGCTGAAGTCTGCAGCACAGAACTCCGCACAACTTTTTTGAGACAAAGCCTTGCTGAGTTGCCCAGGCTGACCTCGAACTCACAATCTTCCTGCTTCAGCCTCCTGAGTAGCTGGGATCACAGGCATGCATCACCGCACCCTGATAACTCTGCACTCCTTCGACTGACAGTGAGGTCGGTGAGGATTGCGCTCTGCCAAGGCGCTGCCCCTCCTCCGCCCCTCTAGCGCCAGCCTCACCCACCGCCAGCCCAGACCACCTGCGTCCTCACACTCCTTCACCTCAGGCCGGGCCAAGGAGCCTGGCCGGGGGCGGTGGTGGCGTGGCCAAGCCTGGCCCAGCCTGCAGAGACCCCTCGAAACTGTCCCAGTGGTCCTCTGCTCCCGAGGGCTCCCTGCCTCAGGCTCCAGGCAGGGGAGGGTGCCTGGGTGCGGACGCCTCTGGCTCCACTGCAGCTCACCACAGCCAGCATCAGCACCGACTGACTGCAGCCCGCCGAAGTGGAGCTGAGAGAATTCACCTGTTGGGTCATGAGCTTCTCGAATTCCTCCACGATCTCTGGCAGGCTGAGCCACTGCACTCCCGGCAGCAGCCCCAGGGCTCGGCTACCCAACTTCAGCAGCAGCAGGTCCACCTGCACCTGGGAGAGCAGGCCGGGGTGCAGCACCTGCGGGAGGGGAGGTCGGGAGCCGGTGCTGGGTGCCACCTGCAAAGGGGCCAGGGACCCAGGTGATGGTCCCCGCACCCAAGCAGCGAACGCCACCCTCTCCCTCCGCACTGCCCCGCACTGGCCAATTCACGCCGCCATTCCCTGAAGCTGAGAAATAAAACAACTTACGCGCGGCAAAGACAGATTACAGGGTGAACATCCCTGACTCAAAAATCTGAAATCCAAAATGCTCCAAGATCTTTTCTTTTTTTGGACTGGGGGGCTAAATCCAAGGCCTTTGCATTGAGCTACGAAAACCCCTGTCCTCCTGAGCATTCAGGGAAGGGACCTCAGCCTGTGCACGGCTTGGGGTGACTCTATGGGGTGCCCCGCCAGGCTGCTGGAGGTGGGCGGGGCTGGCGAAGCCGAGAAGCACCTACTTTCACCGCCACTGGAACGAGGCCACGTGGCCCGGGTGCTCGGCCAGGGGTCTGAGGTCCACCCGGGTCGGTCGTGGGGAGCAGCAGCCGCTCTAGAAGAGCCTGGTCCGCGAGGCTGCCGGGGGCCTTCCGCGGCTTCCCAAGGGCTCCAAAGAGTTCTTGCAGCGCCGCCACCGCGCCAGCTCCGGAGGCCTCACCCGGTCCCCGCGCGTCGCCGTCTCCCAGGAGGGCGGGGCTGGCGAACGCCTTGTACACTTGGGCCACGCAGCCCGAGCCCACCGGCTCGCGGGTCTCGAAGAAGAGGACGCGTCCCCAGTCGTCCCCGAGCGCCTGCCGCAGGGAGCGCTCCGTGTGCGCCCACGGGTGCGGGGCCACGCGGACGTGCAGCCTGGAGAAGTGGGCGCAGAAGGCCTCGGAGAAGAGGTCGCGCCGGGTGCTGGCCCACTGGCCCAGCTTGATGCACGTGGGCCCGGCCGCCTCGGTGGCCTTGAGCAGCAGGCGCAGCCAGAGCGCGGCCAGGCCGGGCGCCAGGTAGGTGAGCGGGAGCAGCAGCAGCAGCGGCAGGAACCGCGCCAGGAGCGCGCC